CCAAACCTATAAGACTTTTGTCTATCTTTAGAACACAAATGAAGATATTTTAAATGTTCTCTCATTTTTTTGTTAATCCATTGAAAGTCTAGATAATCAGTATCTTCAAGCTTCAAAAATACAGAGTTATTGTATAAGTAATCCATGCCGATATTTATATATGAATAAATCTTAAATTATATCATAGTGAACATGTCTGTTCAGAAGAAAATACTGGTCTCCCAGACTTGCAATAGAGGACAAAAATTAAGAGAATATTAAATATATTTATTTGTGTTCTAAAAATTAGCAGAGTTTGTATGGGTTTGGAACAACACAGGGGTGAATAAATTATGACCATTTTCATTTTTTGGTGAACTAACCCTTTAAAGAGCAGCCCTCCACGTCCATGAAAATTTGTGAGGTATGTGAATGTCATGTCTGTTTTAATGTTTCAGTAAAGAAGTAGCTTTCTGAAAGCAATATATTTATTTAAACAATATTACATGCCCTCTGCTGATGGGGCTTCTTCATGACTACATCAATTATGCTAAAGAGATGAAAATTGGCAGCGATGCCTGATCTGTATTCATGGTCTATGAAACAAACTGTAAGTGTATAATTTGTAAAAAACAAAATGTTAAATGCTTGTTCTGTGTTGTTGTTTAGTAGAAATGGAGTTTAGACTCTGTCATTCATACACATGCTCACATTCATTCACACATACGTTTCTGATAAATGTTATAATATCAGTGTTAATGTTGTGGTTTATTTACTGTCATGCCAGAATAGTTTGTAAAGAACTTAACTATTAACTAATTGTACAACTATTGTATAATAGTGTTTTTTTATAATATTTTTATACAATATATACAATTTACCAAAAAAGTCAAATTTGATCTTAAAAGTTATATTCAACAAATGTTCAATGCTTCATTTATAAACTCTGTAGCTGTTAATGCCATACTTTTTTGCATTCCTTCTTACATGTTACTTTTGACTGTTTTCTCTTGTTTTAAATAAATATTTACCTTTTGATAGTCATTCTGTGTTTGTAAAAGTGATTTTAAAATGAACAAGATTTGTAGGTTTAAAGCTCGATTTGGGTTCATTTTACCCGAGCAGTGTAGTCCATTTAAACCATAAAAAAGCAACCCAGCATGCTGGGTCAAACATAATAACAACTGGGTTAAAACAACTCAGTGCTGGGTTCATCCCTTTTTGACCCAGCGCTGGTTTGCCAAAATAACCCAAATTGGGTTGTTTTTAACCCAGCCGTTTTTAGAGTGTACCTGAGTATCTTTTCCCAACAGTTTGATAGTTGAGTTGTAACTCCAGACGTGATCATGGAATGGCCTGATGTCTTGACGCACATGAGGTGGCTGAACACAAACTCCATGAATACACTCTAAAAAATGCTGGGTTAAATACAACCCAGTGCTGGGTAAAATAGGGACAAACCCAGCAATTGGGTTGTTTTGGTCCAGCGGTTGGGTTACATGTTTAACCCAACCTTCTGGGTAGTAACCCAACCACTGGGTCAAAACAACCCAATTGCTGGGTTTGTCCCTATTTTACCCAGCCCTGGGTTGTATTTAACCCAGCATTTTTTAGAGTGTAGGCTTGTTTACTAACCACAAGTGGTTTCACTCACAAAAACCATAACAGCACAGTACACAACAGGGGTGTAGTTGACTTTTACAGCTTCCTGGTGGAAAAGAGCTTTCAGCTGGCCAGCACCTGCAGAGTTTGAAGGCTGCAATGGGCAGGTTAGTGGATATTGGCTAGAAAGACATGAGCGATGTGGAAACCTTTTTTAAACGTCGTCTTCAAGCTTCAATATCAGATGGATGAAATTGGCTAAGACTTCACTGACAGACTTGCAAATGATTCTGTCAGACTGACTCTGCCTTTTTGTTTCTGAGTCTTCGAGGCAATGGGGTTTAGGAGTGTTGCTCGCTGTTCTCATGAAGCATACTGTCCAAGCGAATAATACAATTCTGCTGTACTTTCGGTGTGCTGAGGTTTTCCTGTCTCTTCATTTCCCCTAAATTAAATCAGACTGAATGTCAAAAACATCTATCCTAACTGATTCCCTGCTCTTGGGGCCACCCAGAGGCGTGTTCAGCCTTTTTTTTTTTCTTTGATTTATTCAAGCGTGAAGCACAGTAACCATAATGGGTTTGCTCCAGTCAACTTCCTCAGTGTTCAGGAGGTCATCTGAGACTCGAGGGCCACCTAGTTCCAAGGTTGTGGGACGGAACTGAGCGAATTTGATTGGGTGAGGTCTTTTTGAAGGAAATGTCCTGAGAGATGCTTGACCGAGTCAAAGTACACATGGATCAAATGTTTCATGTGATTCATGTATTCACAAGGTGCAGCAGGATCCCGCAATGCTGAGCTCATGATTAGCCACCTGAAAGGAGGCCAAGGGCTGAATTTCAGCCCAACTGGTAGATATCCAGGTGTTTTAAGGGAGCTTGTATGAAGAAAGAAGGTGATGATGTGCCAGACTAGCAATGCAACACTTAACATGGACACAAATCTAAATGACTGATTTAAGGAGAAACATGACTGGGCTGTAATTTATGTCTGTATAGCATAGACTTCTCTTGGCCGCCCTATTGTCTTGTTCTGTGCATGGGTGGGACCAGGCTTCTGTAATTTTTCTAATTATTTGCTTTTCTTTTTTATTTGACTCTGGTATCACATTCTGAATCCTTTTCTTGACTGCAGTGAAAGCCCCCTTTCTCTCACAGAATGGATTTAACAAACACTTTTATCTTTATTTTCTGATGAAAACCCAGGTTTGTGTTTTTTTGTTTTCCATGGTGCTCTGAATAATATAATTTTAGGACTGAAATTACATAGACTTCTTACAACTTCATAGCTTTGCTCTGTTAGACTTGACTTCATACATCAGTTTAAATAAATAATGTATTTATTTTTTATGCATTTATTTCTTTATACAGAAAAGTTATACTTCAAATGTACATAACATCCCTTTCCCATGTTTATTAAATGTGATCAAATCAGGCTTGTAAAATAACTTTTTGATTCAAACCAGTACTTTGAGCTGAGCCATTTCATTTTAACAGTTGGCATTTTCATTTTTGAAAGATAAATGAGTGTTTAATTTATAATTTACTGTTATTATTTACATAGAAATCATTGGGCTCTCTTGGACCCCAAACATAAAGACAGGGAAGTCAGTCTCACTGGAGCATTATGGAATAATCTCTTTGTTTCACTCAGTCCTGCAGTTTTATTGATGTACAGGTGCATCTCAATAAATTAGAATGTCGTGGAAAAGTTCATTTATTTCAGTAATTCAACTCAAATTGTGAAACTCGTGTATTAAATAAATTCAATGAATACAGACTGAAGTAGTTTAAGTCTTTGGTTCTTTTAATTGTGATGATTTTGGCTCACATTTAACAAAAACCCACCAATTCACTATCTCAACAAATTAGAATATGGTGACATGCCAATCAGCTAATCAACTCAAAACACCTGCAAAAGTTTCCTGAGCCTTCAAAATGGTCTCTCAGTTTGGTTCCACGACATTCTAATTTATTGAGATGCACCTGTACTACAGCAATGAGAGGCTTTATGAGGCTTAGAAATATCAAAATACAAGTGCATTTAACCATCCTTAATAATTAATCCTTAATAAAAACAAGCTTTTCCAATTAAAATGTTGCTTTTTGTACTCCTCTTTAGATCAAGTGTTTCTTTTGGAGAAAATAAAAGCCTTTGCCATTTGATTGAGGTACATTTGCAGTTACAGGAACACAAATGTAATTTCAGTTAAGCCAGATGAGGAATTATATGATAAATGAAAAGTTCACGTTCTCTTGGTGGTTAAAACAAATGGAACAAATTTAACAAGCACTTAAAATGCCTTTTAATTCCTTAAAGACTTTCGGCTGCTTGTCAGACACGTGATGGTGAGAACCATTTGTTTTAAAGAGATGTACGTCTTCAGTTCTCACATTTGGCACGCTATGGGTTTCGTTTGAGTAGTGTTGATTGCACTTTTTCCATTGCCAGGCTAATTGATACCCAGGCCAAGAGGAACAGGGTAAACAGGAGATAGCTGCATTACCACTCCTGCAGGAACCAGCCTTCCCATAATGCTCTTCCTGTCAGGCCACATCAGAGGCCAGGAGATGGGCACACAAAGACGATGTTTGCTCAATCTATCCAAGCGAAGTTGCTCAATTGGGGGAAACTGAACTTTCCCATCTGTGTCATCCTTTTTTTCTGTTGGTGGTATTCAGTGGGGGAAAAGGGTGATTTTGAGCAAATTTGAAGAGTAGCCATATAGTTGGGTATTTGTACTTTTTATTAAAACAAAATATTTTATGTTGATACTTAAGGTCAAAAGGTACAAATCTTGTCTTTGTTCTTGTTTTTCTTCTTCGTCGTCTTGTCCTTTTTGTCTTGTTCTTGTTATTTGTTCTTCCTTGTTCTTCTTTGTCCTGTTCTTCATTCTTCATGTTCTTATTTGTTTTTCTTCATCTTGTCTTCCTTTGTTGTTGTTGTTCTTCATCTTGTTTTTGGTCTTAGTTCTGTTATTGTTCTTCTTGTCCTCCTTCTTCATGGTTCTTCTACTTCTACTTATATTTTTTTATATAAGTATTTATTTTTTGCATCCCACAAAAATGCAAAAATGGCCTCATATGTGAGTCTTTGAGTTTATTCATAACCAATGATCATGTTTTGACGACTACATTTAAATAGTATTTTAATGATGGTTACACTGCTAAGGTTGTTTTTTTTCCCTTCCTAGTCCGGCACATCTAGTACAAATGTAGGACACACAATGGGTCATGTTGTGAATTGGAGGATGCCGTGGGCCCATAGAAGAGTGACTTCAGTGTGTGGCAGTCAATAGTTGCTAAGTTGTAAAATAGGATTGTTTGCTTATGTCAAGCCCAGCAGAATAAATGAGGGCAACAGTGGGTGAATGTATTGACCTGACTCTTCTTTGTTTTATTCTGTCCATATTTGTAGAGTCGTGGCAACCTCGCAGATGGATAAAGGCCACATTTTTGGGGTGTAAAGCTTGGAAAACAACGGACTTGGGTCTGTTGGTAGAAATGAGGTCAGTGTTGCCCTCCTAGAATGTAGAAGTTGTTTTTGTAAGAGCTGCTAATTCAGGAATAGCTTGACTCTGTACACTTCTACACTGACCTAAGGACTTTGGGAACTTCCCTGGGTCTTGTTTAGCTGTCCATCTTTCCTCTTTTCTGTTTGCACATGTCTCATTTTATTAGTGTTATTATCTTTGTGTTTTAACTTTGTCAACATCGTTGAAACTTTAGAAATACCAATATTTGGCTATGTTTTAATGTTTAATTTCAAATGGTGTTCAGACTGTCAATGATAGGACATATGGTTCACACATTCTTACAGTACATCTGGCTTCTTCCAAGTGCCTGCATTGCTTATGTGCCACATTATCAACCACTTCACTGTTTGAATGCCATAATGTAAGATTAAACCAAGATGACAAACCGCAGCTGATAAATCAAACTTGAAGTCTTGCATTTTGAATCGGCTGCATTTATAATGTTTATGTGTTGATTGCTGACATGAAATAATCTTTTACATTCTGACCGCCTTTATATCAAAGCTGGTGGATGGGGGCTCAAGCTCAGGCTGAGCTGAGCTGAGCTGAAGAAGCACTCTGGTGAAAGTGCATTTATTTTTAACCTCCTGAGAGCCTGCATCCTCATATGAGGACATTATATTTTAGTGAATTTCTCCGAGACTAAACATGCCACAGTTTTAAGTCTGGAAGTCCTGTACAGAGCACATTCAGGGCTTTTCAGAGAAACTAAATGTTTGGATGTTTCACCATGACCACTCCCTCTCCTTGGTCTTCAAAAATGTCTGATATTAATTTAGTGACACTCTTATGGAAATATGATAATATTTTGTAATTATCATTTAAATCTAACTGTTTTTTTAAACTGTGTGTCATAAATCAGCATCTCAGGTAAATGTTATGGGGTTTCAAATCAAAATATGATTTTCTGTTACGAAACAGGACGTTGATTTCATACATGTCCTCATATGAGGACACCGGGACTAAAAGCATGTTTATTACGCATTTTGGGAGACACAACAAATGAACAGGGAAAGAAATTATATTTCAATATTCCTATGAAATATTATATATTATTATGAAAAT